TAAGTCACTTTGGAAGTTTGAAGGAAGGAAAGGTATGAAGCCAATGAAGGTTGGTCGGGAGGATTCCAGGACTTTTTACATCAGGATTTCAGAACCAGCCTTCTTCCTAGGCAGTGGAAATGGGACATATAGAAAGGTTTTGTCCTTAAGTAAGAGATTAAGTTTAAATTGAAGTGGAAACTTGGCCCCAAACTACACTGTTCTGTGCCCTGAAGAACTGGAATGAATTTGAAGCAAACTATTACTCACTCCGATTATGTGTCAGTTGGAAAGAGAGACGATTGCGTTGTCAACAAAGTGATACTTTGCATTTATTTCCCCTCCGCTCCAAAGACCAATCATCCTAGTTCTTTGTTTGAGGTCACAGGCAACCCGCTACTCAGTGCAGCACTTAGGGAGGACCTGCTAGGGCTCAGCACTGTCTGGCGCTAACTTTCCCTGCAGCGCGGCAGCTGAGGGCGCCTCTTTCCTGGAGCCTTTCGGGAGTGGGTGTGGCCATAAGAAGTTGGAGGTGAAGTGAACTTCTGTCAGTGACTCATGTTTTCCCGTTTGCTTACACTGCAATGTTGGAGATGCTTTTCTTGAGGGTGGAGGATGGTGAACCTTGCCTTAAAATATCAAGAAATTACATCTGAGAACACAGCAGATTTTAATTTCTCCAGAGTTAGAAGGGAGGAAAGCTGATTTTTCTCCTAACATACTAAAATGATTTTTGTGAAATTTAAAAAAAAAAAAAAAAAACAGAAACAGCATTCTCTGGAGATCAGAACCCCTCTAACAATCATGTTTTGTGTTTGTGCGATTCAGCACCCACAGGGAAGATTCGATTTCTTCCATGCTGCCTGTTTCTCTCCAGCCTCTCTCACTTGCACCATAAATATTCCTTTTCAACTCCCTAAATTTAAGCTGTTTCCTTTGGGAGACATTTGAAAAACAATCTTTATTGCCATTTATTTTATTTAGGCTAAGTCTTGTCTTAGAGTTGTTCATGTGTTAATATGCTGTCTTTTCCTGCATTCCTCTTCTCCAGTCAGCAAAGGTTGAACTTTCTTCAATACGAGATGGATTTAATTGGTTAATTTCATAATTCGGAGTCTTTGTTGGTCTAGATTCCAAAAGGAGGAGTTCCTTTAAGCTCTCTGCAGCTACATTTGCTTTTGAAGGGGCCCTTTATTTTGCAGTGAATAAAGTGTCTCTTATTTAACAGAAAATAAAAGAATCTTTGGCAGGACTCTACTCCCAATGGGTGAAACATCACAGGAAATTGAGAAATTGTTTCTCTTTGGCCTTGTGGGAAAATTTGCTGGTGAAATTTAGTACAAAGGTTTTAACACTACTTAAATTCATCAAGAAAGACCTGTGAACAAGGGACAGCTTTGGCGGTGGGGGGTAGGTCCCAATGCGACCCTGCCATATCTGGTCAGTTAAATTTTCCAAGTACTCTGGGCTGTGGTCAAGAAGATTGTGTTCTCTCTTACATAATAATTGTGTTTCTGTCAAAAAGAACTTAGAAATATTTTAGCAATTTACGAATAAGTTTGTCAAAGATAGCCTCAGTCGGATGCCCTCTCATTTGTGCCTGACAAAAAAGAGTGTTTTGTGTGCCCAAACAAGAAATATGTCCTCCTAGGTACAGTGTCCAGCTTCCATTTTCCAGTTCAACAGTGAGCTCCAGAACTTGGGCAAATCCACTTTGGGTATTAGACTTGTGTACTGAGCTCCAGACCTGAGTCCAAACACTGGCTGTTTCCGCTTGACATTTTCTCCACGTGGACAACTTATTTGCGATTTGTGCCCAACACCCGTGCTGTCAGTTTAATCCCCAAGCCTGTTTCCCTTCTAAGGTCCTTGGAGATGCTGTGGGAATCAGCACCATGGGTCTCATTGCCCAAACCCAAAACCTTCATTGTTCACACCCCTCCTCCCCTGAACTTGCTATCAATTGCCAAGTCCTATTGATTCTCCTAAATATGCCTGACAGCCATCCCCTTCACTTCTCTGTGCCACCTCCCCAGTGCTGGTTCACACACAATTGTCTCACACCTTGATCTCTCTAGAAGCCTCCTTAACCAGTCTCTTGCTCTCAGCCTTTCCCTCTCATAATTCTGTTTCTACCCTGCAGCCATTTGCTAAAATTAATATCCATCATGTTACTGCCTGGCCTGAGAATCTTTTTGGTGGTGGTGGTAGTGGGTGGCTACCTGCCATTTCCATTATAAAATCCAAACCTTGGGGCCAGCCCAGCAGCATAATGGTTAAGTTTGTGTGCTCTGCTTCAATGGCCTGGGTTTTGCAGGTTCGGATCCCAGGCACCGACATAGCACCAGTTGTCAAGCCATGCTGTGGTGGCAACCCACATAAAATACAGGAAGATTGGCACAGATGTTAGCTCAATGACAATCTTCCTCAAGCAAAAAGAGCAGGATTGGCAACAGATATTAGCTCAGGGCCAATCTTCCTCTCACACACACAAAAGAATCCAAACTCTTGACTTGGCTCTTGCTCATGTTTCTCAGTTTACTCCCCTTTCCAGCTGCATCAGCTCCTTGACACATGCGCTGCTCCCCACTCTAGCAGCAACTGGACTGCATACCATGAGAATGCTGCCCTCTACTTTCCCCAATTCCTGGCTAATTCTAATCTGTCATCCAGAAGCCAGAGAACTCTCTCTTGACACCCCGTCCCCCAGACTGGGGTAGATGTTCCTCCTCTAAGTTCCCACACACCCTGGACATACCTCTAGGATAGCTGACCCTCGATTGTAAGCTCCTTGAGGGTAGGTCATGAAGCTCATTTCTCTTTGATTCCTCTCCTATGCCTGCTGAATCAGTAAGTGAGAACGAATGACTACTTATAGTCCTTTCCATATGTAAAATTGAATCCTGATTGTCATGTTGTAAACCTGGGCTAATTTTGGCTAAACATCTTGGAGGCTTGAAAAGGCAACTATGGAAGAATGAAAAATCTTGGATTTGGCTTCTCAGTCACTGTGATCTATGACCTTTGCTAAGTCTGTCACCTCTCTGTGTCTCAATTCCTGTCAATGAACTGAAGATGATATATTACAGGGTTTGGCTGAGGACTAAGGGACAGGTGTCTGGTGGGGGAGCAGTCAGTGAATTATAATGGCTGCACAAATAAGAGGGGTCCTGATTCTTTATATATCTGCGGTTCTCCTTACTGCACCCCTAACAAACATGAGCCGAGGAGAGGTGGGGTGTGCATGGTCTGTGTGGCACAGATACCAGGGCGTACTTACCAGGTCCCTGTTCAGTTAGGTGGATACACCAAAGGCAGGATGGAGGAAGAAACTGGTTCACCCTTAGCTTTCCCACTGGGTGAAACTTGAAAATCCCCTCCTACTCTCTCATACGCTGTTGGTGAAAGTCAGACCGGATAGAATGGGAAAGCCATTTATCACGTGTTGAGAACCTTAACAATATTCATCGCTTTTGATCCAGTAATTCCATTTCTAGGATTTATCCTGAGGGAATGACTTTTGAAAATGGGGGTTGGAGCACCTAAGATGTGTGATGTTCATTGAGGTTCTGTTTATTATAGTTAATGATTGACAGTCATCTCAAACGTGTAATCAGTGAGGGACTGCTGTGGCATTGTCCTTTGGTGGGTTCTCTGTAGGAGAGAAACATGAGTTTGAAAAAATACTCAAGTGAAAAAAGCAATCTTAAAAAATCCAGTCTTCAGGTTGATATAAACTATATGAATCAAACGAATATAGAAAAACAAAAGGTGACCAGTAGGAAAATACACTCGTTTTGAAAGGGATTAGCGGTAACTAAGAAATCCACAGGCGCAGCCCTGCCTCGCGCAAAAGAGGACCCCGTGAACGAGGTCCAGTGTCTGTTGTGCAAAGGCATTATCGCGATCTGGCATTGGAGAGAAGCCAGACCTCCATCCCGTCTTCTGTCTTCTCAAACCTGGAGGAAGGCATCTGGAGGAACACAAATGAGAAGGAAAAACGCTGAGAGTTGGGAGAGCTGACGTTGTAGACCACCAGGGAAGCAAAAGCTAAACATACTCAAAAACAGTCATCATGACAGCAACTGTGTAAGGCATTTTGAGTGTGCGAAGAGTTTTTGTATACATTGTTTCTTTTAAATTGGCTCTTCTTCTGCATAGCTCTTTATCCTAACTGCCTGTAAAAATCGTTATAGATCTAAATTGCTGAGAAACACAGTTACTTGTTTGGGCTCCATTCCCTTTATCGGCCTGGCATCCAGGGATTTCCCTGCTGGGCAGAATTTGCTTTGAACCCAGTGGAAATCACCTAGAAGCGAACAGTCAGGCCCAGGAAACAAATAGGCATTTCACTGTGGCTTTATTCCCTGAAGGACCTCCAAACATGTGGCAGACCTTTCCTTCCCTGTGCCTTGTGGAGCATTGGGTTGTAAGAGGCACAGAGCTGCTGTGAGCTGGCCACCATCACACAGCAAGTCAGTAGTGGAATCTGTGTAGAATTAAGATCCCCCTTTTTTCCTCCTGAATCCCCATCCAGCCCAAGTGTCAGTTCTCCCACAGGATTTCATGTTCCTCTTTTTGCTGCCTGTCTCAGCTCCAGAAAAAAAATCTGTTTTCTCTTATTATTTTTCCACGTGGCTGCGGTTCAGAACCATCGTGCATTTGTCAAATGCATCGCGTGTCTTCGCCCCTGTAGCTCTCCTGTTAGCTGCCGCGATACGTGAGGGAAAGAGAACGTGAGAAAGAAAGAAAACTGCTCCCAGCCCTTAACGCTGGGTTTGGGCCATTTTTCTCAAAGACAGGCTGCTGTCTCTTATCTGATTCCAACCTCCATGTTCTCAGGATGAGAAATAAATCTTTACATACAAATCCAACAGTTAGTCTCCAGGTGTTTGAGAGGAAGCTTCGGTCCGCAGTGGAGCTTTTTCAGGGAGTCCACTATGTCACTAGGGACAGCGCTGTGTGCGTCTGGTTTACGCTTCTCTTTCGAAGTTTATTTTGTGTTTTGTTGTGGTTTTCAGATTTCTCATGGTTTGGATTTGGGAAAGTAAAATCAAGACAAGGTGTTGGTAAGTAGTTACTCACTCCTTCTTTGGATAAGTAATGAGTTTGTGTTGTTTAATTCAGATGAACCTGCTTCGACCCCTTTCTTCATACTTCTTGGCCCTTCATTCATTTTCTGCATTCCTGGTTTCTGATTTGCTGAAGAAAGAGGCCTAGAATTTTTCCAGAAAAGGTGTTACTTTTGCTAATTGAGTTCAGTGAGTGGTTTTGTATTTTTGACGTTAACTTGTTTTTCTCCCATGGAGAAGGGTCAACGGTCATGCAGTTCTAGGTTGGTGATGCATTTTTAAGAAGCTTGAGGAATAAATGCACCTCACTACCACTCCATGTGCAGCAAATAGTTGGCTGAACATTCATGTCTGGACAAGTTGGGTTCTTAACTTTCTTCCATTGGCCAAGATGAAATAAATGTCTGAATTGGGAAATCAGCTGTTCATTTATGACCATTTCTCTTTCAAAACAAGACTCTAATGTCCACACACTATGATTTGTGCTTGATTGCATTCTATTCCTTGCATTTAGACTATGTGCTGACAATTGAAAAGCAGAGTTTGTAGCTTCCCAAATGACTACAGAGAATGTAGCTCATCACTAGGATTGAAATCAGGTGTGACATCCCGGGACCTCCAATTTGCTCAGCATTTTCTATGGGTAGAGAAACAATGGACAGGAATTGCTTAGAAGGCAGGAAAAGGCAGATTGCCTTACATCTTGCATATGTGTTTCCAAGATCTGGCCCCATCTAGAGCATCTTCTGGTTAGTATTTATTTTGATAGCGAGGTTGGCTATAGGTAAAATTGTAAAATAGGGCCAGGGTACCATTGTCATGGAGACTTCCAGGTTTGAGCCATCTGCCCCCTACATGTTCATCCCATCCATACAAGGAATCACGTTTCCTTTCCATTTTTGAGCCTGATATCAGATCTTTCCTACTGGATAGCCTTTACTGATGTCCTGCCAGTGATCCAAAATGTCCAGTGGGCTGAGCCCAGAGGTGGCAGGCCAAAGCAGACTGAGCCAGAGAGGGGAAACGTCACCCCAACCCTTATAAGCCCCATGAATTCCAAGGTAAAAGCTCCTGACCAGCGAAAGGAAGGCAGAGATGTGGCAAAGTTGTAATGTTGAGCTCAACCAGCCCTGGACTTGTCAGCCACTCCCTGGGGGCAAATTTCAGATACAGCTGGTCACAGTCACTTTGCCGATACCAGAGAGACTGCCCTGCTTGGACGGTCTTACAGGTGCCCTGGGGTAAGGCTTGTGCTCCATGTGTGGTGGTGACAGGGGTGTCGAGTGATAAACTCTCCCACAGTAGCAATGTGAGAGGGGATCTTCCCTCCACTAAACAGCAAACCTCCAGAACCACCTAAACAGTTTCCAGACCAATTTGCCCTGTAGAGAGGCGCATGTTCCAGGAAAGCTTCAAAAACAGAGTTTCACCCTTTTAGGCCACAGCAGAGAGCCGCCTTCAGAATTATTCTTTCAGCTACAGTTCATCAGAGGTGCTGCCACTTTAAAATGCGGGTTTTATTGTTATTTAGGTAGAGTGAGGCCAACAGGTCAGGAGACAACAGCCAGTGAAAAGACAGTTTGTTACTCACGGTTCCCAAGGGAAGGGACACACCATGCCGTGGAGGAGGGGGACACATGGGGGCAGCCCCTGGGCCAGTCAGGAGGCAGAAGGAGTGAAGGGAAACCACAGATAAGAGGCTCCATTGTGCTTTCTGCAGGAAGGGATGAGTGGGGCAGAGGAGGCAGGTTTAGGATTGGCTAGTTTGAGTGACTTCAGAGGACTCTGGGGTGTAGGGGCATCCCAAGGTGTCTGGTACCTGGTTCAGGGTGAAAGGACATGTGGACAGTGGCTTGGAGTATGATGCCTGATAAGGAATGTGGTTGGCGGTGTAGACTATGGATTGGTCGGTTTGCATATGACAAGTACACTGGCAGGTGAGTTGTTGACTGGCTCTAGGAACCGGCTCTCCCTGGAAGGGGCAGTCTCTCCAGGGTCAGCAAGGCCCCAGATGTTGAAACACAAGAATACAGAAAAGACAAGATACGGTTAATACAGCTGCCCAAGAACGATAATCTCTCCCCTCACCTTGACAGCATTTTTGGTCTCAAGAGAAGGAAACGCCTTTCCCAGATGACCATCATCTGTTCTTATCACAGGAAAATAAATCTAAGTTGGGCTTAGAAATGTCTGCAAAGCGATACGTGCAGGATATGTTACCCAGCAGCTCTGATAAAAGAAGCTTGCCTCTTTGCACTGGAGACATATTAAAATTAAAATGGGCTAAAAATGTTTCCAGACAAAGCTCCTATTTGTCAGCTCAGTAATTAGAGCTATCTACCCCAAACCCAGCCAGTTGCACAGACCTAGCAATTTAAAACTTTTTATTAACATAAGACATTTTTTCGAGTCCTCTTATGAATTTCTTATAACACGTAGTGATGTGCCCCAACTCTTCTTCTGTCTGTCTTTTTGTGGTGTCTCCTCGAGCACATGCACAGACACACACAGACACATCCCATGATGTGCACAGACAGGCTGCTGTCACAGTATATAGACATTCATTGTCCCTGCCAAGAGCTTTCCCCCCTTCCCAACTTTGCTGTGCTCCATTAGATCAAAATGTTCAGAGAAAAATGGGCTGAATCCCTGCAGCCTTGCCAGCGACATCAATCTTCCAGGATTTGGAACATTGATAATGAAGAAAACAGCACTTGAATTAATATTCCACTTGATAAATTGTTGAGGTTTATATGTTGTTCAGATTTGTCAGTAGTGACCTTCTGGCAAAGTGAAAAGGCTTTTGAAAAATTACCTCTGGTGCTTTACACTGCTGCTATGCTTAAAATTTTTTCCCCCAAACAGAGGGCCCATTCCCTTGAGATCTGTTACCTCAGATTCGGGGATTTTACTCTGAGAGGCCAAGGAAAGGACAGGCTGTTCTTTGATGGAGCAAGAGAAGCAAAGAGCAAGTCCTTTGGTTGAACTCTTTAAATCAGGGCTCCACGGTGTACATGGCAGATGATTCAGAGCCCGACTTCCTGGAGGAATCTCAACACTGTCTTCTAGGTATCGACCTTCTCTAAAATGATCGCATGCTCCGGGAATGTTGATAGCCTGACCCGAGCCAGAGGAGAATCAGAGAAGAGAGCAACTGGGATCAGTGCGTTTCTAATCATTGCAGGGGCTCCTGAAGCAAATATGGTGGGTCTTCTGACGGCATGCGGAGTATTTGAACATGACAACTCCTGCATTTCGGGGTGCAAATGTGCAGCCTGGATTCTGTTGAGAAATGTGTGGCCTTGACTGCACCCCCTCAGGGAGCTCAGGCAGTAGCGTGCTTTGGTAACCTCGGAAGGGGGAACAGCTGCACCAGGAACACAGCGAGGGAGCCAGCAGTGGGAAGGTTTTATTGACAAGATGCAGAAACCTTAGCATAATACATTTCCATTTTCCATCTCTGGGCTTAAGCTCTGGGTGATCTAGGGCTGTCAGAAAGCAAATCATAAAACAGGATGGGTAAGGATACGAGAAATAACTTGTCTTCGTAGCTATTCTTGGCAGAATTTCCACTCTTGGCTAATGCCAGCAAGCTAGGCACAAGATGGGCATAACTGGTGTGCTTGCTTCCTCTGAGTGTTCTGTGGCTTCTAAATTGGCAGTGTGAGGACTTGTTTGCAGAATTAAGCCAGAGTGTATCATTAAAGGCAACTTAAATGCACATCCCCTTGAGAGAATGCTTTAAAAAATTACCTATAATAGCAGTTGGCTGCCTCCTGCATAGTTTGTTTAAGATTCAGCCAGCTGGGGAATATCCAATTGTTATCACTACACGCTGTGATAATCCCCATATGGGGGAGAAATGACTCTTGAGGTTGGGGGATAGATTAGCATGACATTTCAAGGGGCTTCAAAAATGTGTGACAGAAAACCTTTTGTTTTTAGAATTGCTGTTCTTCTTACTGCAATAGTTAAGTGGGACGGACAAGGTAGGGAATGGATGGAGGTGCTGAAACCTGCATCCTGGCGGGCTGCATGGAAACACATTCCCTTCCTCAGAAAGTTGTGATTCAGACTTTCCTACCCTAGTAGGCATTTGCCTTGGCTGCATATTCCATTCTGGCTTCCTTTTGTCTTTCCTCCTTATCCTTTCCTTCAGTAGCCCTAGCCAGTGGTTGCCTTCTGTGGGATGCTGCGCCCATTCAGTACACTGCAGAAACATGTGTAATAAAAATAAATGTCTACGGGGGGCTGGCCCCGTGGCCGAGTGGTTAAGTTCGTGCGCTCCGCTGCAGGCGGCCCAGTGTTTCGTTGGTTCGAATCCTGGGCACGGACATGGCACTGCTCATCAGACCACGCTGAGGCAGCGTCCCACATGCCACAACTAGAAGGACCCACAACGAAGAATATACAACTATGTACCGGGGGGCTTTGGGGAGAAAAAGGAAATAATAAAAATCTTAAAAAATAAATAAATTAAATAAATAAATAAATAAATAAATAAATGTCTACGGGGATTTGAGTACTTTTCATGTATGCAGCATTTGTCATGAGCCACTGAGATCTTAATTGTTTTGAAGCTTTCCTGTAGATTTTTATCTTTGTGAATCTATTTTTGGTTGCAAACAGTATAGGTTTAGTGGTCAATGGATAAATCGTTTAGACAAGACGTAGTAAATCATATTTGTGGGCATATACATTCTGAGAGTGTGCTAAAAAGTTTAAGTTTTGTATGGGAAATGCTATGGTTATTGCTTTAGTATAAAGATATCCATGGAATGACTCTACAAATAACATTTCGGCTAACGGCAAAGTAGGTAACTTCGCCGTGGGATTCACCCTCTATTTTGTACACAAAAGTGATGCAGCTACTGACAGAATATACAGAAAGAAGAACAAAGTAGCAGGACAGTCCAATGTAATTCTATTCCCCCAGTTGTAAGTTCATTTAATAATACCTAGTAGTAATTCCTATTTGTGAAGCCATTTCAATTTGCAATATATTTTCACAGCAGTAGTCTCATTCTAGTCTCATAAAATAACAAACACGTACCATTTTGCACATTTTACAAATGTAAGTGGAGATAGAGCCACAAAGAAGGTAAGTGACTTGTCCAAAGAGTGGAAAAGAGCTCAGATCTTGAACTCCTAGTACATCTTTCAGCGCACTGTGAAACAGGAGTCCTACATGCACGCTGGGCATTTCGGTGAGAGAGTGTTCTAACGATGTTCAGAGAGCAGAAGGGAAAGCTGCATATTAAATACATGAGAAGGAAGCAAAGAAATTGGAACCCTCACACATTGCTGGTGGGAATATAAAATGGTGCGGCCACTTTGGGAAACAGTTTGGCATTTCCTCAAAATGTTAAACACAGAGTTACCACATGAAGCAGCAATTTCACCCAAGAAAAAGGAAAATGTCTGTCCACTCAAAGACTTGTACACAAAGGCTCATAGCAGCATTGTTCATAATAGCCAAAAAGTTGAAATAACCCAAATGTCCATCAAATGATGAATGGATCAACAAAATGTGGCATATCCATACAATGGAATATTATTTGGCAATAAGAAGGAATAAAGTAATGACACATGCTACAACATGAATGAACCTTAAAAACATTATGCTAAGGGAAAGAAGCTTGTCCCAAAAGATTACATATTATATGATTTCATTTATATGAAATGTCCAGAATAGGTAAGTCCATACAGATTGAAACTAAATTCATGGATGCCCAGGGCTGAGAGTGGGTTGAATGGGGAGGGATTGCTAATTGGAATGATGAAAGTGTCCTAAAATTAGGTTGTAGTGATGGTTGCACAACTCTAAGTACGCCAATACCCACTCAATCGTACACCTTAAGTGGGTGAGTTTCGTGTATGTGAATTATAGCTCAATAAAAGCATTAAAAATTACAGGTGAATATGCATGTTTCCAACTCCAGGTCCAGCTTCAGTTATCAGCAATGATGATGACTCTGCCAGCCCACTCCACCACATCTCCAATGGGAGTAATACCCCATCATCTTCAGAGGGCGGCCCAGATGCCGTCATTATTGGAATGACCAAGATTCCTGTCATTGAAAATCCCCAGTACTTCGGCATCACCAATAGTCAACTCAAGCCAGACACATGTAAGTACAGCTGTTAATACTTATCGGCCCATGTGCTGCATAGCTGTATCAACAAGTATATTTGTCAGAGTGTCTAACCAGGGTGACTGAGGGGAGGGGGCACTGAAATGTCTGAGAATTCTTGGGGCTTTGGGCCGACAGATTAGCGCTTTTAGTTTGTTGTTTATGGAATTCTCAGGGTGTGTCTCCTGCTGAGCTTGGAACTGGGGGCAGTTACCGACTTCTCTTGGGATCCATTTTCCAAAAGCATTTGTCAACATGAAGTTGGAATTGAGGCATGCTTATCGTGAAAAAGATAGAGACAGAAACCAGACGTGTCATTAGAATGCACATGCGTCAGTTATGGAAGACAGGCGATTGTTGGGATTTAAATTTGGTTTATTGAAAGTCCTTAAAATATACACCAGAGATAGTCAGGAAAGTGTTGTGTCAGGTGGTATCAATTTTGGTAGTTTTGTATTCTTTGCTCAGTCCTAGTTCCCAGCATGATACTCATCATGATGCCATGAAAGCAAAGAGACACTAGAGCAATGATATGCATGTTAAGTATGCTGACTTATATTTCTCCAAAGCAAATTAACTCATTAATCTCTGTTGGGAAGCTTGGGAGTTTTCTCAGAGAATCTAATCTTATCTTTTGAGCCACTGCTCATATATAAAAAGTGGAGCACAGCCTTAAGGACAACAAAAAATAAAACCACAGTGGACAAACAACCTTATGCTATTGAAACTCCAGACCTTCCCTCACATGCGAATAAGGGGTGATGAGGGCTAGAACAACAGGTGGCCCAGGTCCCAGGGGTTCCCTGGCACTGATGAGTGGGCACCTTATGTCTATTTGCATGTTCTTATCCCATCTTAAGCACTGTTTTCTTGGCCTGCCTCGGAAGTAAGATAAGACTATTACAAAGTTAGGCTTTGGGGACTGACTTTCCACTAAAAACTTTCATGAGATAAGGGGGCTTAGCAATGAGTATCAGATCTGTTCATATATAAGGAATTACTTGTAATTTCCTCCTATTCATTCAAATGTATCCAAAAGCATATTTAATATTGGATTTGAATTTAATCATTAGGAAGAACAGTGTTACAAGCTTGTAATGTGTGAGACTTGAAACCCCATAGATTTCAGTTGAAGATGTAATATGACAAGATAATTAAAATAGCATATGTGAAGAATATTGAACTCCTTGAAATAAAAGGTATTATTTGGAATCAAGATACTATTAATCTTAATATTGTCATTATATTGTGAATAAGATGTATGGAGGCATTGCTTAAAATGCGCATTCTTTGTTGAGATAAGCATCCTTCAAATGTCCTTGATATGCTCTGGCATGCATAACATTCAAATATTGAAGAAGGCAAAGCAAGATAACGCAGTGGGAGAATCTGTCATAATTTTGATTGTTCTCCTTAAGAACAGAGTACTTTGACACCCCTGTCACCACCAGTACCAAGCTGTATGATGCACTTCAGTTAGCTTGAGGCTGTATTATAATTGAGAGTCACTAAAATCAACCTGTCCTCAAAAGTTTGCTTTCCTTTGTCAATGGAGGAGAGATAAAGCAGAATAATCAAGTAGATAGCACCAGCCCAACAAGTCCAATAAGAAGCAATGAACAAGTGAACAAGAAAGAAAACAAACAAATAAAAAAGAGATTCTATAGAAGAAAGTGGACTAGATGGCTGCTGGATCTGTGGTTCTATCTGGAAGTGGTTTTTTCTCTCACAAATCCCATAAGAAATTTCTAAAGGTGATTTCCTTAATCTAGAGTCCGTGGAGATTTTTGCAAAGGTTTTGGATTAGACATTTTAGTTCTTTTGGAGGAATCTTGCTTTTGTGGCTCAACCACTCTATGCCACCCCCAGTTAGAAGGAACTGGAAGAAGTTGAGGACACCTGCAGCCTCCCCTCACCTTTTGTCCTCTACCAGAGGGCTCCAGACCACTGATTCTTCATTTGACATTTCCTTCTTTATAAAGTCTTGCTGGGTCCTTCAGTCAACTGTCCTTACTCAGCTCAGTGTTTCCAGTCACTCAGTCAGAGGAAATTTTATTTCTTCTAGGCATCAAGCCATATGGTCTTTCATGATTTTAAGAAAACTCAAAATCACGTATCTTCCATGAATCTTTTTTCAAAGAAATGGAAATGAAAAACAATCACTTTTCTCCTTCCCTTCACCCTTTCTTAAATGTCATTCTTTACTCCGTATTTTTTTCCTCTACCTTCAATGTATCTGCTGCCTTTTCTTAAGTCCTGAGGATGACTATTCTTGTGTCTGTGTTTCTATAGTCTGTTTAGGTTAGATTGTAAGCTCCTGGAGAGCAGAAACGGTGTCTGTTGAACTACTCCTTCATAGTGTGGCATATGCTGTACTTTTGATGTTGGCCAGATGTTGACCAGATGTGGCTACATATTACTGACATGTTACTAACAGACTGTAACAAGATGACTCATAGTCTTTTTCATTGCCTCTGTTCTTTCATTGCCTATTAAGCTTGCCTACATAGTAGTAGTTCATTTATTAGATAGGTTTCTGACAATATTTTAGTCAATTTAAACAGATTTAGATAATAATTTTAACAGCAATAAGCTTTTAACAGAAAATAGTTTCTGAACATCCTAATTGTAGTCATCCAGAAATTGAAATATTTCAAAATGGATAGGATCTGTTGCTATAGGCCTATGAAATTTTGGGAGCTTACCTTTCAATGAACTGATTCCCATTGAATATTATTACAAATTAACCTCTAAAGAATTTCCAAAGGATGGCTCTTCCTAGAAGTTGAAAAACAAAGTTAAGAAGATCTCAGAAAAAGTTTAGAGCTTTTCCCATGTGCTTAAAGCAGAATATCACATGGATGATATAACCCCAACCTCTGGACCCATCAGAGGCTTGGGCCTCAAACCAGCATATTTACTTTCTTTTCCTAAGGCTATATGCTATTCAAAGATGCTGGCTTTAGAATATATGTGTGATTTTACAAAGAGTGGTCCCAGTCTCATTTCACTGAACTGTGAGAATCTAGTATAGAAGGTGAAGTTCAATTCATTAAATATTTATTGGCCAACCACAATAGTCCTGCAGTGCTAGGAGCGAGATTCAGTGATAATGATGGCATGGTCCTTGCCTTCCGGGCATCTCATCAGAGAGGCCAGTGGTTAAGATATCATCATATAATCACAATGTACAGTGATAGGATAGCTTAGAGTAACAGTCCTAAACCCCAATTACCTACAGGGGTCAGGTAGGTCAACTGGTCAACTTGAGAAACAAGACAGATCAGAGACGACATGTGGCAGCGAAGGCCATGCTGGAACATGAGCCTGGTATTACCAGATACTCCAATTTGTCCAGAGAAAACGGACATTTATTCTTTCATGTAAATTTCCCAAGATTGAAACCACTGGGGGGGATCAGTAAAATACATCCCACAAGTTGGATTTGGTCCACAGTCCTCCACCTGTTTGTGACCCCCTGAGGTAGACCTTAAAAGTCAATAGATACAAACACCTGATTTTACAGACAATGCTCAGAAGTGGCTTGTCCAAAATCACACGGCCTCCATATTTGCACAGCTTTGCTTTAAAAACAAAACAACAAACAAAATAACGTGATCAAACTGATTTCTTTAAATGACGTGTTAGATCATTTAAGTGAAAGATGATGATAAATTATGTCCCCACTCTCAGGAGCTATGTGAGGTTTTCATTTGCGAAGTCCAGAGCTGGTTTGCAGGATTTTAGAGCAATCTGAACAGGGCTGAATTGCTCCTGAACACTTTCCAATAGCAAGTCTGTCTACTTTATTGCAGGGCCCAGAGGTTCCCCCAAGACCGCCTGATAATAATTTGGTATTTGGAGGCTCCTGTGTCACTGCAGGAACTAAAGGAGGCTAAGTCCATGCCTGATGGAGGAGAAGAGTTCTATGGTTATCTGCAAATTCTGGCCAGACAACACCTTGACGTCACTCCTTAGCTTCTATAACCTAGCCAAGCAAGAAGTTGCCTTCCAAAGAGAAAGCAGTGTGCTCTAATGACTAAGGCTCAAAGTGCTGTGCCACTTTAACTATAGACCCATCTCCTCGATCAATCAGGATGGCAAGATGGAGCTGAGGAGCTCAGCAACATCAAGTCTGCAGTTTGTCTTTAATTCAACTAGTCTGTGTAGATGTGTCTGAAAACCACGTCATCTGACAGCACGGGGTGGTTCCCCAGTAGGATTTACAAACTCGGCTTAAGGGCAGCTGCGCCGCTGTCCTCTCCTTGACAGCTGAGAACATTTTTGACAGGGTACAATGGAAACATACCTTCTGAGCTGAGGGAACAAAAGGGAAAGAAAAACACACTAACCAGCAAAACCCCTGAATCATCAATCTTGGGTTCTCTTGAAGGGTGGGAATGCGTTGTAGCTTTCCCCCAGGAAAAGCAAGTGCCATAGACTTATTGTCATCCCTAAAACTGCATCTTTCCTACAGCAGCCTTGTAAATGGGTGAGGACCCTAGGCCTAGGGCCTGAATGAAATGAGAATTGTCTCTAAATATGTACTGTATGTGTTTGTCCATCCAGAGCATGCCCTCTAAGTATACCTAGGGCTAGTAACTCCCTGTGGCAGATGCATATAAAGAATTCTGAATTTTTCCCACTTTGATTCCTTTTCTAATGGAATGGCTATTTTTTGATTCCCTGCATAGTGTGCCATACTTCTCTAGGTATTACAGTTCATATGTGTGTATGTGTGTGTGTGTTTTCCCATTGGTTACATGCTTATTAGGCAATTATGTAGCTAAGCACAGATTCATAGACCAGCTAAGGCTAAGGAAATCAGACGTAATAAAGGGAGGGAGAATTTTAACAGTAGTTGAAAAGATCACATGGGCCACCCCCCAGCTCCCGTCAACTGCCATACCCACACCATCATTGTGTCGCCAGCAAGGAGAGGTTACTGGAGGCAATATTTTTCACCGAACTGCAGAGGTTTTGAACATATTTGCAAT